GTTAAACTTGATAATTAAAAAGTAATCATAATGTCAAACTATAGGAGCCAACTATCGAGCCATTGTGCGGTCGAAGGGAGCGCTGTGCGGAAATTACAGAACAGGATCGGTAAGTCGCGCTACTAAGTAGCTGTCATTTAGTTGTAGCTTTGCCTAGTCTAGCCGCTCCATTGGGGTTTCATATGGACAGTTAGCATGATTTTCTGGTCATCTTCTCAACATATAAGACACAACAAACAACATAATCAATGGGAACAATCATCTGTGGTTCTCATGATGGTTATTTATTGTTATTGTTATACCACGGTGGCTGTTTTACTCCTCATTGACGCTTTTGTTAGCCTTAGGATGAATTGAATCTTTACTTTAATATTTTAATATGCTGATTTATTATAAATATTCCACTAGAATTTATTTAGTGAAGGAATTATTGTACAATATGGATTTTGATGCTGCTATTGGTACTAATAATGTGTAGTATTTATAGTTAGTATGTTTTGATTGTGTGCTCCGGATAACCGAGTCCTGTCTCCATTTGGGCCAGGGTTTGATGGCGAGCTAGAAGTCCAAGAACTGTCAAAGGCTCATCTAGCCTGAAGAGTTTACCTGGCATTTGAACTGAACTGAACTCCAGGACCTCCTCCGCTGGGTTGGCTGGTAGGAGGCTCCTGTAGCAGACAATTTTTCTTCACCGGTGACATTATGCAGTCACTCAAATGCATCTATTTTTGGACTGTAATCCCTTGGACTGTATTGGGCTTTTGGGGGTTTTCTCACCCCTCTGGACTGTGCACCTTAACCGAGGAGAGACTGAACTGCTTGTGATGGATCAAATGAAATATTTATTCACTATGTAAATTTGTAAATATTTATTGAATTGCCATTCATTACTTTTTTGCTGTTTATTGTTTTGTTGCACAAATGCAAGGAACCTCAAAACCAAAATTTTGTTTTGTTCAGTCTCCTTCATTTCTCTGCTCCCAGAGCCGAATTTAGACTTCTGATCATTTTTGTAGTATAGTGATACTTGGCTATCGTTTTAGGAGTAACATAACGGTTACAACTGTCTCTGGTTTAGAGGTCTTTAACACCATCTACGACAACGCTGCTGTCTTTTTCTGTCGTCATCTCAAAATTAAACAGTTAATGAGCTCTGTTATTGACACCATGTTTGCTTTGGTTGTATCCACAAACCAGGCTCTCTATCCGGTTTGAATTGTCTAGTGCGCCCCCAAGTGGAACACGTCACTACTGCCTGTGCCAAGGCGGGATTAAACAGCAAGTATATCCCAGGCCTTACTTTCTACAGACAAATATGCATTGCTTTGATTCTTGGCTTTAGGTATAAACTAGATATGAAAGAAATCGCTTCTTCACACCGGTGAAGATTAAACTCCCTGCTAGCTACACTAAGAGAGTGGGTATTAGTGTTTACAGCCCAGGGGAGGAGGGATTTGGATTCAAGACAAGCAGCAGGGGGAGGAGCAGGGTATAATGATGCAACCCAGCCACATGCAGACTTTTGCAATAGTTTAGCAGAACTATAGGGAAGAAACAGCTGGGACAGGAAAATGCATGTGTAAAGCCAAATACTGCTTTGGGGGCGTTTGTCATAAGGAAATAATAACATAACATGGTCAAATGCATGAACCTGTCTGTTAAACTGTAGTTGTACACTCAAAGTGAAACCTTCTGTAATTTAAACTCTTTAGTGATTAAGTATGAACTATAAACTTCACAATGGAGCTGGATTAACTCACCTGTTGGGACAAAATTTCCCTGAAGCAGCTTTTTCTGCGCTTTTCTGTAAGGGTACCGGAAACGTGCCCGATAAGCGCGAGTCTTTACATGAATTTACATTACATTCATTTGCTTGTTTGTTTCTAAGTCACAAGGCGCGAAAAACGAAAACAAATTTCTAATGATGGCGTTTCACGCATTAGTGCCCTTAATAAACTCTGACTCAGCAGTCATCAATCAAGCAGCGCGTGGTTTTAAACCGCGTGCGTCGTCCATCTCCACGGTGCCGGGCACGTGCCAAGTCAACAGTGAGCTTCCCTCAGCTACTGTTGTTGTTACTGTATGTCCACGTGCTCTCTGACAGAGGCCCCCGCAGGGGGGCCCGGCAGGCGGCAGTGATCAAAGCAATCAGATAAAAACTAACATGAACCCAAGACTCGCGTTAGTTATCTGAGGCGGGAGAGGCTGTAATCTGGCCACGCGTCTCATTACCAAAAGGTGACAAAACCCGCACTTTCACCGACACCCACCTCTCAGACTACAGGTCAGGTCGCACCATCTGTCTGTCTGCGTCGAATTAAAGTTAAATAGGCTAACCTAAAGTTTTCACATTTGATGCATTTATATAAAAAAATAAAAGTAAATTGATATTTTAATGGCTTTAAGCACCAATCACAATAAATCTCGCTCACCTTTTTAAAAAGCCTGAAATTATATCAAAACTATGTTTAACTGCATTATTCACTATGGAAATGTCCGACGTACCTTAAAAAGCGTCAACGTTCGTCCTCGTGAAATTTACTTGCAAAATAAAACAATGAAATATCAAGAATTTAAAAACCTTTTCAACTAAAAGTGTTACAATAAAAGGGAAGATAAGGTTGGAGCTCATGTGACAAAACTCTGCCTCAAAGCTGCTGTCCAGGAGTGAGAGGAACTGTAGGAGCGTTTAAACGGACTGAAGTCATCAGTAAATTATGGAGTGGAGTCCTGCCAGATAGGGTGGGGCGGGGGTGACGTCACCCAGTGGCCCCTGTAAGGATAAGTGGCAAAACCATCACCAGAAGGTCTTCTGGATTCCTAGATGAGCTGTGACTCTGGTGCAATGAGGGAAATGAGTTTCTCTGGTGAAACTGTGGGTTTAAAACCAGACCAAGTGACCCCATGAGAGAAGATCAGTTAGTGAGGACTCCTAGATCAGAGGGGCTGCTGGTAATAAGAAAGGAAAAAGGAAGTGGTGGTGGCCCCTTGCTGGCAGAGTTCAGGTACCACAGCTGGTGTTGGTCTCACACACACACACACACACACACACACACACACACACACACACACACACACACACACGTGTGTATTTCAGTACTACATTTCGGTTATGTAGTAAGTACTACTACAATCCCCAGGACCTGATTAACGCTTTGTTGTACCCTGGGCAACAATATTCAAGGGCCCCATCATCATGACAAGGTTAAGTCACATACAGAATATTTTCCTGTAATGTGCAATAAATATACTCAATACTTGAATGCCTGCCGTCACGTAACCCGCTCAGGGTAACCTTTGACCCACCTCGTGCAGACTGACCGATGAGGAGAGGGTCATAACTTGAGGCCCTCTCTTCATTGGTCAGTCTGGATGAGACTGACTCTCAACCGTGCTCAACTAACGTTCAAAGTCACAGGCAGCGAAGCGTCTCTGTGCAGCGCAAAATCCCTGGTGGACAGTTTGTTTAGTATAGGGTGACCATGTGGCAGTGTGAGTGTCCTTTCATAGTGTCCCGCTTGATCATGCACCCTGGCTACTTGGCCAAGGGGATGTCCCTTTGACTGACTGGTTAGCGTGCGTGACTCTCACCTGGGAGTCTGGTGATCGAATCCCGCCTGGGCCCTCATTTCTCCACCTTGCCACAACCACATTTCCATTTCCAAAAAAAGAGGACAGGGGATCTGTGCCTATGACGTCACGCTGTGGCAACGCCACACAAACCACGTTGGGACCCATTTTTTGTAAGAACTAAAATTAATATCAGATTCTGCCAATAAAAGGGCTCTAAAACAATTCATATGTAAATATTTAGCATATTTATTGCAAAATCTCATTTTTCTGCTTTAGTGCTGCAACAAGGTTTTATTAATAAGAAATTATTATACCTTTTGTTTTACTACAGCATCGGTAAGCTTCCTGTGCACAGATTATTAAGGATGCTTGTTTCAGCTGTGAGATTAGACGATAGGATCAATGAAAAAATAAGTTGTCACACACTCCATGGAAACTGTCAGAGAATCCACAAATAGTGGCTTTCAAATGGTTTTGTTACTTTTTGCAAGTTTAGAAAAGAAGCAGATGAGACAGCATGTCTGATAATTTAGTTCTTCGTCTGATAACATTAGAACATGTCAGTGGTGTCTGAGGGTTTTTAACAAACACCGTATAACTAACACTCCTGGACAGGGTATGGATTACACAGAGGCTTCTGGGGAGCCCAGTTATAGCGGTGGGGGGTGTTGTGTTTTGCCTTGGCCCCCAAAATGTCTTGAAACGGCCCTGGGTGTGTGACTGAGTTTTGAAGGTGATCTGAATTGTATCAGATGTATAAATATGACATGTAACTTATTGTTTTATACAGGTAAGAATGTGTAGTGGCGATAAATCTACCTACATTTTACTTTTCAAGACTGTTTTGGTTTCTTGTATTTAACTATTTTCCTGTCCTGTCTGTCTCTCTTCTTCCTGCATCTCCTCTAAACTCTCCAGAAAATCTGCTGCCTGGATTCTTCCTCTTTCACCGCATCAGTTACTTTTGAGCAGATCAAAGGGATCTCGTTTCGATGCTGCGTCAGTGAGGTGAAATCACCGCAGCACAGGTGATGAGCTCCGCAGTAGCAGAGCGCTTCAGGCGCAAATAAGACAGAAAGTAGAGAACATGTGTGGACATGAACGATCGTGTGCTAATTATAGTTTTTTGTTTCTGCCACTTTGAGAATGGACCGTGCGCTGGACGCAGCAGCCTGAGCACACCAACGATCATCGCTCTCCGCTCAAAACCCCGGTAGCTGAGAGTCCATAAATGATGTAATATAGTTAGAAATGTTTTTTCCGGCTCCCCCTGGATGTGTAGGGTATGCAGCTCCCCCATAACTCGATCCCTGCTCCGCGATGAAAAACCGGACATTTTCATCAATACAAGAATATTCCTCATATCATAAACATAATGGGACTAAGAGGGAAAATAAGAATTTCATGATTACCAATGTAAACATACATTTAGTTGTAACACATTTATTTTTTCCACTCTTGAACACCCCACCAGAGGCTGTGTAACAAACACAAACATAGTGTAAAAACAAACGGCCAACGTCTCTTTGGAGATCTCACAAATGTTCTTCTGATCGGTTCATCACCAAGCGATAAAACAGCACCTCGATGTGACCCTTTAGTTTCATCATTAATACTTTAATAAGAATAAAAACAGGTGTTTTAGGTTGTGGTAATGAACTGTCGCAACAGCTTCAGTCACTTTACATGGATGTTTGGACCATGAGGAAATGTTGGTACCTGCACATGAAAATGTGCACGAGCGAGGGTGGTTCCAGTGTGACGTTCAACACACATCAGTTTACAGATTCCAGTGATTCAGACAAAACAAACAAGTAAAATCCATCAAATAACAACTCAGAACGAAACAAACAAAGGTGGAAAGAACAGAGCAGATGGAATAGTGTGGAATAAAACTCTAGGAGGAAGAATAAAGTGGTGTCTTTAACTAGAGGTTGGACTCTTTGAAGCACTTTTGAACGTGTTCTGTATCAAGTTCTGACCGACTGGCAACAGACCGTTCTAATGAGCCTGGTGGGTCGATGCTTAAAACACAGCAGCTCCCCTCCCCCGTCACACCCGACTGTCTCATGGTGGTTTGCTCCAGCGGCCACGGAGCTGCAGTCTTTACGTCCGGACCTGGAACTTGCCCGCCTTGGTCATGTACTTGATGCCCTTAAAAGGTTTGTACTTTTCACCATACATGTCCAGACGATTCACCTTCAGCCCTGATGAACAACATCATATCAGTGATGCTGACAAAGTCACAGACCTTAACAGAAATGACCCATGAATGCAGCAGAAATGTGACACTAAAAAATACCAACAAACTTCTATACGGATAATTATTATGGATTATTTTACCAATGTACATATTATTCATCTTCCTTTCTTCTTCCCTAAGTTTCTAACGTAAGGTTTGTGAAATAGAGAAAAAAATCAGATGGCCCTTTAGACTTTTATTATTTTTTACTCTGATGAAGACTATTATGTCGTCTACAGAATCCGTTCATTCTAGAGAAAATCTGCCCACACACTACAAGTAATTCAACACGTTATATGAAAAAGCCACGCTTGACTTTTTAACAGTTATCTTTCTCTTGGTGGAGGGAATATATTATCATCCACTGTGAATAAAATGTAACATCTAAAGGCATCAGTGTATAACTTCATTCATAGGACTATATAAAGTCCTTTAAGGAGGATCAATCGAACTTGGCGCCACCTAGTGGGCACAGAGTCACCAATCAAGTGGTTGTCAGCTGACCAGCTGTATGTGCTGAAAACTAATGAGTATGAGGCAACGGCGTTCATTTTACTGCAATGAAGAACAGCTATAGGAGTTTAAAATAAAGTAGCAACCTAACACACCAAAACGGTCTCGTTACAAACATGGAACTGACCACAACTGAGGGGAGTCCTGAAAACGCATCAGTCTCCATGACAGAGATAATGTGTGAATATACCTGAGATGGCCATCTGTTGAATCTTAAACTGGATGTTAATAGTGGGATTCTCATCAGGTTTGGAGGCTCCAGCCTGCAGGTTCATTGTGCCTTTGAGATTTGGAAGCTTCTGTGGGTTGATCTTACCAACATCCCATGTCAACAACTTGAAGGGGGAAGGAAAAAATATCAACATGGAAGCAACATGTCATTTCTGAAACTCTGGTCTCAGACAAAAAACAAAATTCAAACTCTTCCCACCTTTGTGACTGGGTCAAAGGTGTACGCTCCCTGGGAGGGGTTGAGGTTGGCGTTGAGGACACCCCGCGGCAGCTGGCTGCTCACGAGGACCGACTCCACGGCTTTACCCATGGTCTGTTTGGGGCCCAACGTCAAGTCAAAACGACCCTGGGAGCTTCCTTCCCGAAATGTAATGTTGTGTTTGACGTACACGGGAATGGCCACCAGGCTGCAGAGGAAGGAGACGGTTTGACAGGGTGAGATAGAAACATGTTTACTGACTAAAAACCAAACAAGCACAAACTGTCTAAAGCATCTCCATCACTGCTGACAAATAAAAGCTCACTTCTGAGAGCTGACATGGTAGGAGAGCAACCGGAAGTTTCCATCAGGTGGGATGAAAGAGAGAATCCGCTCAGCTTCCCACCGCTTGAACCGAACACATGGATGAAAACTGACATCATCCAGCAGACGAGGATTCTGGGAAAGGAGGAAGTCAAACTAGCTGTTATTTCACTTCCTCTAAGGGCCTGACAAGGTCACAAAGAAGCAAATGAAAGCTTTAAAATCCTCCTTAAAAAGGGAACAAACCCACCATAAATGAGAGCGTTAAGTCTGGCATGCCTGTTAGTTTCACGCAGGCATCAATGACTCCCTGAATCTCTGCAGTGATGGTGGAACCTACAGAAATAATCAGTATGAGATTCTGTATGCAAAACACCCCCATGCATAAAAACAGTGCCGTTTAACCCCGGGATACCTGATTTATCGATGATGGCATCGATCTCTTCCACCACATCAAAATAGGCTTCATTGTTGGTGTATTTGACGCCGGTGCGTCTCCACGGCACCACTGAGAGCTGTCCAGTGGGAAGCTGTTCTCCTACATTGGTGCTTCCTAGAAAACAGACAGTTCATAAATAAACAGAAAGGTAGAGGCGTAGAGGTGGGCCGATTAAGCACAAATGGACCAGCGGACAGGAGAGCCCATCTCTCCAGTTCTCCAGAGATGGTAGAATTTCCACCATCGCTAACCTCCATAACCCCAACTCTAGAAAAACAAAAACCAGAACGCATCCTAAAGAGGGTGCGCTCCTACAGCCTATAGGGAATTCACTCTGTTCACTTTAAAATTTAACAAGCACAACAGAATAAAACAAAAGGACATACTCACAATACCTGAGAGGACACAGCTGACCACACATTTTAAAATCCTTTAATACAACCACTGTTTACCATTTTAACACCTGAAACACAGGCCTCTGTGTTACTCCCTATCCTTCTCCTTTTCCACCAATAGAGGGCGTAACACAACGGGGGCTCGTCCGGGATATTAAACCATCCTATGAAGGACTTTTAATACCATGTGCTTTTTGCAAACAGGTTTTATTCATAGAATTTTAAGATGTGTGGTCAGCTGCGTCCTCTCAGGTATTGTGAGTATGTCCTTTTTGTTTTATTCTGTTGTGCTTGCTAAATTTTAAAGTGAACAGAGTGAATTCCCTATAGGCTGCAGGAGCGCACCCTCTATAGGATGTGTTCTGGTTTTTGTTTTTCTAGAGTTGGGGTTATGGAGGTTAGCGATGGTGGAAATTCTACCATCTCTGGAGAACTGGAGAGATGGGCTCTCCTGTGCGCTGGTCCATTTGTGCTTAATCTGCCCATCTCTACGCCCCATGAAGACTAGGTTGGAGATCAGCTAGGACTCCTCCGATTAGCTAGAGGGAATTCTTGTTGGACAAAAGACCTGGGAGTGTTTGGGATAAAAGCCGTGGAGGGCAAAGGTGAAAGAAAAAAATTTATGGTTGAACTTGTTTTAATTTTTTCTTTCTTTTAAGGGAGGACGTGTTACAGCTGTTGCCGTTTGTCTCAGAAATCGGACACTGCAGAGGACAACCAGTGCTTTGCCTCCTCCTACCTGCACAGCTGCACTCACTTGGGCTGATCACCTCCTGAGCAGCATAAAAGGCAGAGCTGCCAGGAGGAAGGAGATGCTGGATCTGCGCCAGTTCTCTCATGTGCTCCATTTGTTTGTGTTTTAATGGGTTTTAGTTGTTTAAGCTTGGTGAAGCTTAACAACTTTTAGAGGTTTTTAACAGACGAGGGACCAGAGTGCTGGTTTCCTCTTTGCTCCCAAACTTGTGTTTAAGTCAGTGGACTTTGTTTTGTGAATGTTTGGGAGCGTTCGGATGTCTGTTTTAAACATAAACCCATGGCCATTTTAACACTGTGTTATAAGTACTTTTAGATTTGGAGCTTTTTGTCATTTTAAAATCCTTTAATAAAATCATTGTTTACCATTTTAACACCTGAAACACATGCCTCTGTGTTACTCCCTGTCCCTCTCCTTTTCCACCAATAGAGGATGCAACAATCTGCAAAGAATGTCTAGGTGTCTTAATGGAGAAACAATTTTCACTGTGATTTTTAAATTTAAATTCTAATTCAAAGTAACACTAAAGAGTTTTTAACTATATACTATTGCTTTCAAACTGGTTACAGTGGTTCTCCGGGTAGCTCGCCAACCATCAATAAAAAGAACATTTAGTTTTTTTGATGGCATTATGGCAGATCCTGGAAGCAATAATAATTTTGTGTGAGCATCTTTTTACTTTGGGGTTCGTTTAGAATCAGTTTGCTTGTGTTAGCATTAGCTCATTGTTAACGCTAGCTACAGCTGGCTGCGTCAGGGCTGTTTACGACAATTGCAATTCTACTTTCAACTTGTGGGGGGAGAGGCGGGAAACTTGTTAAGTGCTGCTTTAATCAAAATGGAAACTCAGTTGTTAGTTGTTGTACCATCGACATTTATACGGGTTGTGACCCAAAATACTTCCTACGCTCAGAACAATGCTTTGGCTCATTGGTACAGATGTGCCATGTTACACAACTAAGCATTTACAAGTGTAAACACAAAAGTAATTGAAAAAATGTGGAAGTACTGCTACAAGGTAGCATAACCTTCAACAAAATGTCCAATCAAACCCATGATCTGGGATGAACTCTCGACTCAATCAAAACCAAAGATGTGGATGTATCGAACATTGTTAAGTATGTGGGTCTATCTGACCTATCTGTTTTATCCGAGATATCCATTTCACCTGCTACACATCACACCTTAGCTGTTCTCAAAAAAGATATCTGGGTGATCACACTGCATCAGTTTTTATAGAACGCATGAATACGTCGACAAGTCTAATGACCAGCTGTGCTGATTCACTTTTAAATCACTTCAACTGCAAAACTCTTGGAAGTTCTTGACACCACCGCACCCAAAAAGGTCAAATACGTCTCTGGCCAACAAAAAGCTCCATGGAGGTTCACTAAATCAGTTACGAATCAGAAAAAAGAATGCAGGAAGGCTGAGCCTTGATTCAGAAAAAGTGACCTTCCAGATCCCCATGAGACCTTCAGAATGCAGCTGCGCACTTACAACTCAGAATTAAATAAGACAAGACGAGCCTTTTTCTCCAACGTCATTAGTGATACTAACAACCCCTGTGTTCTGTTTGCTACTGTTGAGAGGTTAAAATGGTAAATGGTAAATGGCCTGTATTTGATATAGCGCCTTCTAGAGTCCTGGAACCCCCCAAGGCGCTTTACAACACAATCAGTCATTCACCCATTCACACACACATTCACACACTGGTGGGGATGAGCTACAATGTAGCCACAGCTGCCCTGGGGCGCACTGACAGAGGCGAGGCTGCCGAGCACTGGCGCCACCAGTCCCTCCGACCACCACCAGCAGGCAACTTGGGTTAAGTGTCTTGCCCAAGGACACAACAACAGTGACAGACTGAGCGGGTCTCGAACCTGCAACCTTCCGATTGCGAGGCGAGCAATTAACTCCTGTGCCACCGTCGCCCCAAACTCATCTCTAACACAGTTAAACACTGACTTCATATCCAAAACTAAGTCTAATGACTTTTCATCCTTTTTCAATGAGAAAATCATAAACATCAGATCAACCATTTATTCCTCCACATCAACCAACACAACCAGACGTCAGCTACAGCCTCACAGCAACCAGCTGGCTAGAATGCCAGCTTTCAGTGTGTTTATTGTTAAAACACTGGAGAACATAGTCAAACTCATCTACCTGCCAACTAACTTCTTCAAAAATGTTAATTTTAGGATGATTAGTTGATGATCTAAAACTTTTAGATAAAGTAGAAACGAATGTAAAATTCTTTCAAATAATTTTTTGGTTGTTTGAAAGTTGTTAATAAAGTTTTTTAATAAAGGTAGCACAGCAACCTGCATCCTGGCATGTGTTGTGATCGATGATGCAGTGCTACCTGTCTCAATTCAGCAATTATTTGCACACTTGTGTACTACGCACTCGAAGCCTTACTGCAAACTTTCTCCAAGTGCACTTTGCTGAAGACCGCAGGGCGCAGTGCGAGTGTTGAGATTGGGCCTTAGTGGTGTACCGCTTTCTACAAGGGCACAGAGTGTAAACTGGACACTGTCAAGACTAACTGAGTTTAGGAAGCAGGTAGAGCACCTGTGATGGTATTGACCATGGTGCGAAGAATGGTGGGAGGTTTAATAAGCTCTTTGAGGATGTTGGACTCTGTGGCCAGTGGGAACCCATTGTCCAGCATCTCCTCCAGAAGCTCATAAACCACAACCACATTATCTTTGATGGCCGCCTCTGTGCACACTCCAAAATAGTCCTGGGAACAAGGATACAAAAACGTGTTAGTAAACCGAACTAAACGTCACACACACACACACACACACACACACACTACTGAGAGACCTGGAAAGTGTCGACGACTCTGTGCAGAAACTCGATGACGAAGAGCGGCGGAACCTCACTCTGAATGACCGCCACAAAGTAGATCCTGTGCCTGAGCACACTGATAAGGTAGTGATGCGGCGTGGGGATCACTGGTGGCACATTCTCCGGCTCAGTGGCTCGCTCCTGTGCCTCAAAGAAATAGTCACACACAGATCGGCTGACCACACTCTTCCAGTGCTTCTCCAGGAAAATGTCCCCGGAAGCGTTTATCAGGAATAAGCTGTGGATCATCTTGACTGAAGGCAGAGAGGCTAAAACAAAATAAAAACACACTATTTAATTTAGAAAAGAAGTCACTGAAGCATGTTTTTTATTTATTAACGTCCAAACATTGTTTGTAAGGCAAGGATGGAATATTATGACTGCAGCAGCTAACAGGAGTTGTCTTTAGCACTCCATGTCCTCTCCGGAGAGGTTATCGGGTCTTTTTAGGTAAGCACACCAATAATTCAACAGCAAATATAGAACAGAAAACCCCTCCTCTTCTTCTCACATGACACACTTGTGTTAGCTGGAAATGTGACACCGGATTACTCATTAAACATGCAACAAAAGCTAGAGTTAAAGCCAAGTACAAGTCAAACAGCTGCTGTTAGGAAATACTGTTGTTGAGATTAAATAAAATAAGCACAAACATGTAACCGCCTATCTAAAATGCGTAGCAAATAAAGGCCTTCATACATCAAGATGCTCCAGCCGTCCCTCCCCCTGTCTCATGACAGAGGACAGGCTCCGCCACCCGGCTACCGTAAGGAGGATATTTTTCAAACAACGGCGATCTTTTTCATAAAAACAGGTTTTTAATCAAATCATTCAGAAATTGCAAAATACTTACAGAGGTTCGACTTCAGACGTGCTTGCCTCCCCTTTCGCCTTTTTTCAATAAAAGATTAAGCAGCCGATGTCGCTTCCCGTTGGAGCAGTAAGACAGGATCTCACCAGCCAATCACAGGCTACAGAAAACCGAAAACCCGCCTACTTGTTTGAGGCAAAGACTAATCTTAGCTGTGATTGGTCAATAGAGAGAGAGCGAGACAGCTACAGTAAACATTTTTTAAACCCGCCCGCTGATTGGCTCTACCTTGTTCCTGGTCTGACATTTTGTTTCCAGTATCAGATTTCATCTTGTAGAGTTCCTCTCCATTCAAATTAACGGGTTTGTTATCTAGGTGGGAATTACTTTTCCCGCAGACGTTTTAAAACGACTCTAAAGCTTCGCCCATGTTTTAGTGAAGATAAATGTCACGTAACATGATCACAATGACAGTTACGTACACACAATAGACTCAAATCCGGATGTAGTTATATACATAAAACAGGGCTGCCAAGTTTTACAAAAGTCTTGGAGTGAGAGTTTTCTTTATTATAATTTGTGTGTGTGTGTGTGTGTGTGTGTGTGTGTGTGTGTGTGTGTGTGTGTGTGTGTGTGTGTGTCAGTGACTGTAGAAAGAGCGCGCACGCGTGCGTGTGTGTGTGTGTGTGGGGGGGGGGGTCATTAGGTTTGGCAAGATGACACATTGAAACTGGTGTTAGGGCAATTTTTCAGAGGCAAAATGGATGCTGCAATCAATGCTATGTAAAACCCCACAATGAATAAAATGAATAAAATAAAATAAATTATGAGCAATATATAAAATAATTAAATGTGGAAAAACAACTTTTGTTCATCTACTTAGTAGATTTAGTTATTTGTTAGTTATTAACATAACAGCTGTGTCACATTATGTCTATTAAAGTATTAAGCTGATTACATTTTATTTGTCTTCAACTTTACCCTTTAAACCATGTTATTATACTGCATACAAATGAAACATTTGATTAATCTAATTGAACAAGTTTATCAAATTAAATCAGCAAACATGTATTCTGTTTTTCTGTAGCCTTTTTACCTAACTGCCTTTATTTGGTTTTTATTTATTATTTTTTGTAATTTATACATTCATTGTAAAATCAAACTACATTAATGTTTTTCTGATTTAAAGCAAAATATCAACTTTTTAAAAAATAAAACCTATCAATATCTGTGTGTTTTTATCAGATGCAGTTGAGAAGCCTATTTATTTGTCGTTGAACAAAGAACTAATAGTTTTATATATGAAAAGTTTGATTAAAAACTATAAAATTATGCTGGTAAAGGTTTTTAACTTAATACATTCCTTTTCTTCATTTATTAAGGGTAAAATCCTTAACCATGGACTTTGTTTCGCTTTTCAGCCACCAGAGCGCGTGTGATCTGAAATGTTCGTAGTGAAGCTAAATGCTAATACTTCCTGCTTTAGGCAGTTTTTTTTTATTCTTGTTGAACACAGATAAATAACATACATTTATTGAGTTCTAGTATTTATGTAGTTTGTATATTTGAATGCGTTCAAGCGTTCTTGTTATTTAGACAGCCAATGGTTTTAACTTGTTTAGCTTTACGGATTATACTTGTAGTAACATCTTTAGTCCACCAAAGGGCAGAAAAATTCTTAAACTCGAAAGCGAGACAAGAAAAAATGTTGAGTTTCCACCCAGTTGATCTAAATTAAACATAAAAACATGATATGTGGTCATCTATCAAATCAAGCGACAGATTACAAGTAATTGAATTAAAGTTTATTTAGACAAAGATTAAACAATAAAAAGTAACTACATTTCTATTCTGTTACTGGTAACCTTTGTTGTATTTTGTTTTTACTTAATTTATTTGAGTAGTTTATACATACATTTTTGAATCCAAATACATACCGTTAAAACAAAAAATGTTTTTTTAATTAATTGGCTGAGTGTGCAGTTGGGTATTTATTGGTCTTTGACCTAAGAAATAATATTTTTATATCTGTCAAGTTTGCTTATAAATTATAAGCTCACTTTGGTAACATTTTTAACCTAAATATATTTATTTTATAATGATAACTTCATAGGAGTAAAATCCCTCGAAATCTACCGTGTGTTTTGTTTCACCTTGTTGCCACTAGAGGGCGTATGATCTTGAGACCTTCTGTGATGGACAAAACAAATTAGCAAAAAAATAGAAAATGCAGGGCTGGCAACTTGCACACGCATTTGAAAATCTTCAAAAGCTTTATAAGAGAATATTTTTACTTCCTTGTCTCAGTGATGCTAAAAAAATTAAAACTTTATCTTTGTTTTTGTCCTTTTGTGAGAAGGAACTATACTCAGACCACCTCCTACACGGAGATAATGGGGAGAGTGTCTTGTTTAAAGTCTGGTTTCCAAGAGTAGTGATTTTTCGCCCTCTAGCGGACAGACGCTGTTACTATAGGCATTATTTATAAAGTTAAGCAAGACATAACTCATTATCACTTCCTGTAAATTCATTGTAAATAAAACCTACCACCTAATTTGACTATGGTTAGTTGTTCTTAGATATCGGCAAAGCCAGAACGTCTTCACTTATACAAACGACGTAAACTTTAGGTTACCCAGATAGCAAACATTTTGGCTTTATTTTGGTTTTATTTTGGCATAAATTGGGCATTTTGGCATCCTTCTGGCACAAAAATGTTCAAAAAAGTGTTTTGGTTTAAATGTGGCATTATTTTGGGTTCCCATTATAGACAATTACGTCAGCGAGTGTTTCTGTTTTAACCGTGGCATAATTATGGTTTGCCATACTAGAAAATTACGCGGCTGGCGATTAAGGCATATTCTGGGTAGCCGGACGAGAGCGGGACAGCGTCTGTGACTTCTGCAGGTGTGCTATGGGGTTATTTTGGCAAGCCATAAAACTCATCAAATACCGGGGAAAATAGTGGAATCAGGACTAATTTGTTCATTTCTCCAACATCACGAAAGAGGTGAGTACCATTACTTCTTGTATTTAGTTTGCTATAGTTTTGTTTTAGGTCTGTATTGTTTGTTTTAGCAAAATGTGTATACTAGGGATGCACCGAATATTCGGCCACCGAAAGACCTGAATCACTGAAACAACATGGCCGAAACATGTCATTGTTTAAAGAGCAAGTCAACCCCTACCAGAGTCTAACTCCACTCCCACTTCATGTTTGAAAAAGGCAACAATGCTGTTGCCTGGCAGACCGAGAAGGAGGAGCTGCTAACAAATACACACACACACAGGCTCACAACACCATTGTGACATCATAATGTACCAGTTTACATCATAGCATACCTCTTAGCCAATAGCGGTGGCAGATTTAAATTAAAATACAGTGCAGAGTTTTTACCTGACAATGGCACAACACTGCCAGTTTTAGGAAGAATATTTAAAATTTAACTAAGATGCACTGAAGTGCCAAATTATTGACTACAGGTGTCTGCAGCACGATTAGACACTCGTTTATTTAGTTTATCAGCAAAAAAAGTTTATTTGGGGGTGACTTGCTCTTTAAAGTCTATTCTGCTTCTATCCGTTCCGGGTTCCAGAACTAATGGCTTGGTTTCTGCTAGTAGATAGTGGCTGTACCACTGTTTAGATGACGGTACAGATGCTAACTGTGGCTAACCTACAGCTAACAGAACCAGCGTCTATATACGACCGAGTGGCTTCTCCAAAGTGTCACGCGGCTTGCTGCGGCTGCAGCAGACTGTAACGATACCGGGCGGGCGGGTCAATTCGCTGCCCTTTTCTGAATATATGTGGTGGCTCTACTTTCTACATGCTACATGTCAGCTATAGGGTTTGTATGGGGGACAGACAGGAAAACAGATTTTCTTCTTGAGTTTTTCGGAGGCTGGTAAACAACTTTTGCCGGTACCGCCACCTTCTGGTATGGAGTGTGGGCCGGGCATTGCAGTTGCTTTAAATGACATATTTCTCATTTTATCTTACCGTCTTTTTCCTGCCACCAAGTCAATACTACACTCAGATAATTAATAAAGTGACACAATATGAAAATTTACTCTGTTATGAACACAGATTACTTTAATGAGGCGAGGAGGAAGCTCCCTCGTGCTGAGGAGCAGACAGACCTCCAGTCTGAGGCGGAAGCCATTGAAAGGCCTTAAAGAAAATGAATTAAGTAAGAATTTTGTGAACTTTCCATTCCTCCACTTCTTGGGCCTGTGTTGAATTTGCACTCATTAACTTTAAATAAATGTTTAATTCAGAAAATAATTTGCATTGTGTGTTCATTTCCAAAGGCCAAGTAGATATGTCCAGGACCGGGCCTCATCAGAGGATGAAGCCCAGACCCCTGGAAGAGGGCTTCCCCCACCCCCAGCCATCCCCCCGGTGAGGAGAAGGTTCATCCTCCCCAATAACGGGCCGCCAGTGGAGGTACCACCTGTACCTCTGCCTGACCTGACCAATTACCAAGTAATGGAAATCTCAACAAATACCACAGTAACACATGTATAGCAAATGGGTTTGAGTGTAGCTGATCATGTACGTGTGGTGTTTCAAATGTGATACGCTAGGAAATTTACAAAGGTTAATGAGGCAGTTACATGGAGAAAAACGCTTCGGGAGCCATTACGTCACTGTTGAGGTCGATAATTGCATTTTGTAAACTGTTGTTCTTCTTCCGCTCCCTCTTCTACACACTCTTCCAGCATGTCATGACCCTGGGGACATCATTGCGGCAGGCCATTGACCTGCAGGGTCACCAGGGAACCCAGGGGGTTCCAGTTCCAACTCCCTCTTCATCTGGTGGGATGATGAGGGAGGAACCGGCTCTCCAGGTGCCTACAGTTTGCCCTAACTCCTCTCCAGGGCAGTGGCAGCAGAGGGACGACACGACATGTAAGGTTTTTATGGTTTACACTCACCCAGTCCTCACATGCCAGTTACAGTATACGAACACACATGATCCACGCATACATACTAATATAAAATGGTTTATAAAGCTAAATACACACACACACACACACACACACACACACACACACACACACACACACAACATGTAAATGCAAAAAATGCTTAAACTATGTTGTTTCTTTGTGTCTGAAATGCTTTTTAGCTCTCCTGCATGAAGTCACAAGAAACAG